ATTTTAACACCCTGTAGGTCTTCGTCTTCTCTTATTTTGATGATTAAGTTTCTTTTTCGAATTAAATTTTTATTGAGTTTTTAGTCTGTAGAACAATGACAACAAAACAACAACAATGAACTATAAGAGCCAAGGGTATATGTATCTGTGAATAGAATCAAAAAAACCAAGGCTCTTTCTCTGAATAGATTTTTCTTGGTTAATAATTGTAAATTCAGTAGTGTTGACTATTAGCTGGGAAATTGTTTGTTTTTTTTTACATATAAAAGCAGAACATATTGTAAATAAACATTAAAAACAACATAATAAACATACATTATATACAAACAACCATACTACATTGTCCATAAAGCGCATTTATGCCTCTTAAGTGACTTCCTTTTCTGTTTTTAATGGTTTTTCGCAATCTCAAACGTACTTTCTTTTAATTCATCTCTTTATACACTCTTCTTTCCTTTCTCATATAATATTTTTCTCCATAAGTATCTATATGAATATCTACCGTATTTTCCGGCGTATAAGACCCGCGTATAAGACGACCCCCCCATTTTCCCAGTCAAAATATAGAGTTCTAGCACCTCTATCCTCATTATCCTTATATCTGGCGTATAAGACGACCCCCCCACTTTAGCCACAGATTTTGCAGGTAAAAAAGTAGTCTTATACGCAGGAAAATAAGGTATTTCAATAACTGTACCTATAATCTTTTATCTTATAACTGTTAGCATTTATGTCTCTTAAGTGACTTCCTTTCTTTGTTTTTACTGCTTTTTGTGATCTCAAATGTACTTTCCTTTAAATTCATCTTTTTATACACTCTTATTTCCTTTCTTGTATAATGTTATTCTCCATCTCTATATCAATATCTAGTTCAATATCTGTATCTATAATCTATAAGTCTGCAATTTATGCCAACTCTGTTTGGCAAGTTTCTTCAGAGGGGATTTGCTGTTGCCATCCCCTGAGGCTGAGAGAGTGTGACCTGCCCTCCATTTTGAGCATGGCTAAGAAGTACACATTGATATTTACATGAGCGTTTTTAAGTTTAGTTTTGTAATATCCCTACTTTGTTCTTGACTGTCCTACATTTTGAGACACTTCATCCTCCTTTGTGGTTATGAGGACATCTGGCCATCCTGACCCCAAACATCTTGTTGTTGTGTGTCCTCCTTTGAAGTTATGAGGACATCTTGTTATGTGCCTTCAAGTCATTTTTGACCTATGGCAACCCTATTTGGCAAATTTCTTCAGAGGGAGGTTGCTGTTGCCATTGCCATCGCCTGAGGCTGAGAGAGTGTGACTTGTCCAAGGTCACCCAGTGGTTTTCATGGCTCAGCGGAAATTTGAACCCTGGGCTGCACCCGCACTACAGAAATAGTCCAATTTGACACTGCTTTAATTGCCATGTCTGCCATGCAATGGAGTTCTGGGAATGGTAGTTTCCATTCCTATTCTTTTTTCTAACTTTTCCAACTTTTCTTTATTTTGACTAACATTCCTATTCCTGCAGTGTGGATACAGTGCAGAGTTCGAATTCCCGCTAAGCCATGAAGCCCCCTGGATGACCCTGGGCAAGTCACAGACTCTCAGCCTCAGAAGAAGGCAAAACCAAACCCCCTTCTGAATAAATCTGCCAAACAGGGTTGCCATAAATTGGAAACGACTTGAAGACACGTAACAACCACAAAGGAGGACAAGGCCCTGCAAAATGTAGGACATTCAAGGAAAAGGTAAGGACGTTCCCAAAACAAAAACTAAACATTCTTCTTATTCATGCTCAGAAGGGAGGACTCCACTTGGGCAAGCCACACTCTCTCAGCCTCAGAGGAAGGCCAAAAGACAAATGGTGGTTTCCAAGGGTAGTTTCCATTACTCTGGTGCCACAACAAACTTTTCAATTTGTCTTAAAAGTGTTGTTGTTGTTGTTGTTGTTGTGTGCCTTCAAGTCGTCCCCAACTTACGGTTTTCTTGGGCAAGATTTGTCCAGAGGAGGTTTGCCATTACCTTCCTTTGAGGCTGAGAGAGTGTGACTTGCCCAAGTGGGTCGGTCACCCAGGGCGTTTCCACGGCCGAGATGGGGAAATCAAACCCTGGTTTCCAAAGTCACAGTCCAACACTCAAACTACTCTTCAAACAACCATTCCCAGAATTCCACAGCATGCAGCCAGGGCAGTTAAAAAAGAATTCTGGGAACTTGTAGTGTAAATGTGAGACGTTTAGCCTTCTCTATCAGACAACCTCTGGTGCCACAACAAAGTACGATTCCCAGGATTCCCTAGCATGGAGCCAGGGGGAATTAAAGCGGTGTGGAACCGGATTATTCATGCAGTATGGACGCAGCCGTGCAGTCTAACACTCAAACGCTACTGTGGCTGCCACCATCCCAAAATAAAACAACACACACACACACACACACACCGATAGCCAAGGCATAACCCACAAGAGTCCCATCATCCCCCTTCACTCACCATGGCAGCGCCACCAACCAGAGTCGGGCGGGCGCGGAGGCAGCAGCGGAATGGACGCCTGGGAGCAAAACAGAGCGAGAGCGAGAGCAAAGGAGTGCGCTTGGAAGGAAGGCGCCCGCCCGCACCGCTTTTTCATAGGCCCCGAGGGGAGGGGGGAGCCTGCCCTCTCTGTCCCCGCCTGGCACCAGGCAGAAGAGGAGAAAGGGACCGAGGGAGGGAGGGAGGGAGGGGGAGCGAGCAAGAGGAGCCTTTTGTGTCGCTCTGCGAGGAGCCAGCCAGCGTAGCGTAGCGGTTTGAGCGCTGGGCTGTGACTCTGGAGACCCAGGGTTCGATTCCCGGCTGAGCCTTCGTGAAAGTCAAGAAGAGACATTTACCCATAGAGAGTCATAGGAGAAAACTTGCCCCTAGGGAATCATAGGAGAATACTTGTCCATAGGGAATCATAGGAGAAAGAATACATACCCATAAGAGAATCCTAGGTGAATACTTGTCCATAGGGAATCATAGGAGAATACTTGCCCCTAGGGAATCATAGAATACTTGCCCCATAGAGAATCATAGGAGAATACTTGCCCCATAGAGAATCATAGGAGAATACTTGCCCCTAGGGAATCATAGGAGAATACTTGCCCCATAGGGAATCATAGAATACTTGCCCCACAGGGAATCATAGAATACATACCCATAAGAGAATCATAGGAGAATACTTGCCCCATAGAGAATCATAGAATACTTGCCCCATAGAGAATCATTGGAGAATACTGGTCCATAGGGAATCGTAGCAGAATACTTGCTCATAGAGAATCATAGGAGAAAGAATACATACCCATAAGAGAATCATTGGAGAATACTTGCCCTGAGAAAGCCATTGGAAATACTTCCCCAATTGCCCAGATGAAGGAACTGGCAAAACCACCTCTAAAGATTCCTTGCTTTAGAGAACCCTATGATATTAATGGGGTCACTATAATAAGTCAATTAAGTGACTTGTAGGCACACACACATATACAGTTAGGGTGACCAAACATCCTTCTTTTGCAGGACATGTCCTACATTTCAACCAACCTTTCCTGGAAGAAGTCCAAAATGTCCTCCATTTTCCATGGAGCATAGTCCTCCAGCATGACTAAAAAGCATTAATTTATATGAGTGTCTTTAGCTTTTATTCAGCGATGTCCTATATTTCTCTTGAATGTCCTACATTTTGCAGTTCCTTGTCCTCCTTTGCATCCTTTGCTCCTTTGCATCCTTTGTCCTCCTTTGTCCTCCTTTGCATCCTTTGCTCCTTTGCATCTGCAAAGGGTAACCTGGTTACAGCTCTCACATCCATACATAGTAACAGGGAAAACAACGCCTTGTATGATGCTAACTTTTGTGTTCAGTTGTATATCTCTGCATTTTAGAATCCTTATAACCCTGCATATTCTTCAGATAGTAATGCAAACTGGAAAGAGAGATGGCAATGAATCTAATGGCAAATTGACTTTTTTTATTATTGGTGCTAGGATTGTGGCCCCAAACCCTGAGGGGTGAAAGCCCAAGGTTTGCAGAAGTCCAAAAACATTACTGAGAAGTAAGGGAGCTTTTGAGTGCCGGTGTAGTATAGTGGTTTGAGTGTTGGACTATGACTCTGGAGACCAGGATTCAGTTCCCAGCTCAGCCATGAAACCACTGGGTGACACTGGGCAAGCAAGTGACATGCTCTCAGCCTCAGGGGAAGGCAATGGCAAACTTCTTCTGAACAAATCTTGCCAAGAAAACCTGCCATAAATTGGAAACAACTTGAAGGCACACAACAACAACAAGGGCGCTTTTAAAATAAAACTTACAACAATCAGTAGCTGAATGAGGACTGAGTGTTGTGGGTAGACATGAAACAAAAGGCAAAACCTGGGGAAGAAAAATGAAACTGGCTGAAGCATGGAGTGCCTTGCACTGAATGCCCTGGCTGGCTAGAACCCAGAATAAGCACATTTCCTTTAGGTGAGGGAGGGTACTCTGCAAATTTTTGTTGTAGGACCATTTGTAAAACCAATTAGTTTTATTCCTTTACCCACTTACTTTTAGGGAATAATTTTATTTTGCACTGATGTGGCATGTATGTGCGTAAGGAGCTCAGCTGTCTACTGCTGCCAGTGTCACATATCTATTAACAAACTTTGCTTTGTCTTGCTGCTTTTTGTCTATTGACAAAAGTCTAAATTGCATGGGTTGACTTGTCAGAGATGGTAGTCGAATATAGATGATCAGGACAGAAGGACTGTTTGTTACTGGTTGGTTACAAAAGAATTGATGGCCCTGCTTGGCCTCTTCCAGCTCTACATCTTTATAGACTCAGCTTGCTTCACTAGTGTTCAAAGACTATGTGTCACATTCTGGAACTTAGCTGTTAAAATAACCTATCAACCCTGCAGCCATGATACTGGGAGGAGAGGAAGCTGTACAGGTGGGACACACTATTTTGAAATTCTGAAGACATGGAAGCAAAACAGGTGTGTAAAAAAGATGCACAAGTGTATGACGTCTGAAACAACGAATGCCCACAAACCCATAATTGTTGACCCATTCATGTCAAGGAACTAGCATGTTAACAAACAGTACCTCTGTACCCAGGCTAAGATCTCATCATACCTTTCTAAGTCCTTAGCCACTTTTCTATTAATATATTAATAGCTTTCAAAGACTGGTATATATGTCATTCTTTCTGTCACATGGACAAACATGACTGCCTCTCATTGAAAAAGGAACCATCATGTATCATGTCCAGAACTGGAGGGAGTCTGCCTCTGAATATCAGTAGCTGGGGAGCACTAGGTATTTTTTAGCTTGTGTTTCTTATCAACTGATATTGAGAAGCATGCCATCTCTGGTATAACCACCATATTTTTTTAAACTTTAATTTGCTTAATCATCCTTTAAAGTCATCCAAACTGACGTGTGTCATGTAGTAGCCAGTCTGAGTAGGCACTGTGTAAGGAAGTAGTTTCTTCTATGTGCTGAATTTCAACATTCAGGCCGAGTAGATGATTGAGGGTTTCAATATTATGAAGGGAAAATGTCTTGCCCACCACTTTCTCCACTGCATGCATCATTTTAAATACTTTATACTCCTTTCTTGCCTTTTTTCTAAGCTGAAAGCCCCAAATATTGTAAATTTTCCTCACAAAGGAGTTGCTCCAGCTACTTTATCATTTTGATTTCTCTTTTCTGTACCTTTTCCAACTCTACAGTAGCGTTACTGAGATACAGTGATCAGAACTATACATAGTATCCCAAGTGTGGTTACAATGTAGATATGTATAAAGGCCTTATCATAGCTTTATTCTATTTGCAGGTTTATTCTACAATTCATCGCCTAATGACTCCCAACATAGAATATGCCTTTTTAAAAAGCTGCTAGTCACTGTCAGCATTTTTAGTGAGCTGTCCATGACAATGCCATGATCTCTTTCCTCATCAGTGACTGCCAGTTCTAACCTGATCACATATGCATAAAGTTGGGTTTTGCTCCATTATGCATTAGTTTCCACTAACAGTGAGCTGCATGTGCCATTTTTATGCCTACTTTCCTACTATGATCCTTCTAGAGTTCTTCACTGGCCCTTTTTGTTTTAACTACCCTAAATAATCTGCCCATGCCCATCCTGGCACCATCTCCAAATCATTTATGAGCAAGGCCCCAAGATATAAAACATGGCTAGGGAATGTATATTTTGCCAGTGACTTGTGCCCCCGCCAACATGAAATAAATCAAAAGGAACCAACTGCCAACATCTGCCACTGTGATAAGGTCATGATGTAGTTCATCACCACTGTGGCCCTACCAGTCAGCTCTCATGTACACAGCTAGTTGCTTCCACTATCCTCTCCTACTTTCCTCCCGTGGAAGCTGATGGAAAACAAAGGAAAAAACACCACAGTTGCTGTACAGGGCCAGCTGCTTCTTAGAGGCCTGGTAATGAGTTTTCAGAGCAAGGCTGTATGGAATGAGCAGGAATGACTTGAGAAACCCCTTGTATTGTAGTCTTGTTCACTCCATGTTTGGCTCTGAAGCCTAGAAACAGCCAGTGGTGCATTTTCCTCTCTTCCTTTTTTCTGTTGTCTTCCAAAAGAAGGAGTGTGAGTGGGTAGAAACAGTGGCACTATGGAGGGAGTGGACAATGGAGTAAAGAGAAAGAGCAAAGCCATGTGGTGGTAGTAGTGGTAGTAGCAGTCGTGGGTTTCCCCCCTTCTTTTCTTTATGTTCTGAGTAAAGGAGAGTAGCAGCAGTGGATTTGGTTTTCTCCAACATTATTCTTGGGAATTAAGAATAATGAATCTGTGAATTATTTATTTATACAGGACTATACTCATCCTGATTTGCTTTTAATCTAACACAGTGGGAGCCCTCTGTATTTTTTTGTATGTTAACCCCACCCCCTCCCAAATTAAAACAAAAAAACTGAGGGGGGACACCTAGAAAGTGGCCCCTGGCCTCATCAGTTGCTCACTACTGAGGAAAAGAGATAATTTTGTGGATGTATCTATGTATTGGTCAGTCTTGGACCCCAAAAAGCTACCTGGCTTGCAGTTAAGATCTTAATTAATGCAGCTGATCAAGGAAAAGCAAATTTATAATATCTAACCACAGATGAAGTATGAAGGATCTTTAATGGTCAAATCAGTTCCTTTTTATCTGAATAACCTAGAGAAATAGTAGACTTCTGAGGGTCTTACATAAATATATGCAATTCCTACACTCTTTCAATCCTCTTAAAATATTCAGATGTATAATGTTTATTTCTCAATGCCCTGCAAGGCACCAAGAGTGAATCAGGTAAAAAAGATAGTGGATTGAAATGGATGATCACCATGAGACAGACAATTCTTGGCTTAGAAACCAAGAGTCCTATGGGCAAATTTTCACAGGCCTCATCCTGGAATGTCCGTGTTTGACTTTTCTGTGTCATCCTCTTCTGTTCTCTGAGTTTCTCCCCCAGTTTCTCCTTGTCTCTCTCCTTCCTCCTCAGTTTCTTCTTGTGTCCGTGCTCCCTCTTCCTCTTGCATATCATCATCCTCAGATGCAAATGTTTCTCCTCCCTCTGAACTCGATACCTGTTTCTCCCCTTCTGATTCAGTTTTCTCAGTCTCTTCCCCTTCTTTGCCTTCTTCTGTGGTGTCCTCTTCCAGATTTACATCATCGGTATCTCTTTTGCTGTCTTCTCTTTCTTCTTCTTCTTCCTCCTCCTCCTCTTCTTCCTCTTCCTCCTCATCTTCCAATTCTACAAAAGATATAGAACCTCAGAATTGATCCCTAAAAACACCAGATCCTGTCTACTTAATATCTCAGATACTAAGCAGGGTCAGC